GTTCAATCCCCCAGCACCACATGCCAGCCAGCCCCGCCCCCTGGTGGGCTGAGCTGGCCACACACACACGCACACACACACACACACACACACAAATTAAAAAAAAAAAAAGATTAGAATTTTAAAAATAAATAAATAAAATAAATGAAAACAATTATCAATTGAGATGGGGATTTCTTACTTTTTTCCTATAATTCTATCCACATTTGCATTTTTTGGTTCTAGTCTTTGTTTTAGATGCACACAAGAAAAGAATTATAGTTAAAGGGGGCTTTTACTATAGTATCTTTTTATCAATAATAAATGTTTTTGCCTTAAACTCTTATCTTCTTTTAGTGTGGCTACAACTATTTTCCTCTGATGTGTACTTCTCTGCCCCTGCTCTCAACTTACTTTCAACTTTACCTGTTTCAAATATTTAGGTGTTCCTTACAAAACAAAGTTTGATTTTACTTTCTAATCAGGGCTGGGGAGATAGCTTGGTGAACAGATGGTCCTCGGTTTGATCCCCGGTACCAAAAAATTAAAAAAACAAAGAACAAAAAACTAATTCAACCTAACACTAACTTTTAACTGATTAGTTTAGTGCATTCATGACAATTATTGATATTTGCATTGAAGACTTGGATTGGTTATACAACAAACATTTTTAATATTTTTTTTATGTATTTGGTACAGGGTCTCACTATGCAGCTCGTACTCATAGTGATCCTACTGTCTGCAGCCTCCCCAGTGCTGGGATTACAGGTGTGTGCCACCATGCCTACCTTGTCTCCATGGCAGGCTCATGTGGTGCTGGGGATCAAACCCTAGCCCCCATGCTTCCCTAAGCAGGTACTTTGTCCACTGAGCTGCCCACCAGCCCACAACTACGATATTTTTGTGTTTCCTTGTTTTTTAAATAATTCCTCCTTGTCTGCTTCTATTGGATTGATCTTGTTTTATAAGCTTTTTACTCTACTAATTTAGAAGTTATCACTTACATTCTTTTTTTTTTTTTTAAATTAAACACATTTGCCTCTAAATTTTAACAGGTCACTGGAATGGTGGTACACACCTGTAATCCCAGCACTTCAGAGGCTAAGGCAGGAAGACTGCCCCAAGTCTGAGAACAGCTTGCATTACAAAGTGAGTCCAAGACCAGCCTGAACTACACAGCAAGACCCTGTCACAAAAATAAATAAATAAACCCCATACATTGCATTTTAATAGGTATACAGTATTTGTCTAAAAATAATGGGGGCTGGTGAGATGGCTCAGTGAGATGGCACCTACTTAGAACAAGCTTAGCAAAGCAAAGGGACCATGGTTCAATCCCCCAGCACCACATGCCAGCCAGCCCTGCCCCCTGGTGAGCTGAGCTGGCCACACACACACACATACACACATACAAATAAATAAATAAAAATAAAAATAATGGCTCTAAGGGCAATAATGGCTCTAAGGGCAATGGAGATAGCTCAGTAGAATAAGCGCTTGACTGGCAAGCACAAGGGCCTGAGTTCAATCCCTAGTTCTGCAAAAAATAAATTAATAAATAAATAAAAATAAAATAAAAATAATGGCTCTATCTTCCACTCAAACAATATGTGTGGTTAGAAATCATTAAGAAAATTCCCATTTGCATCTGACTCCTCACAAGACTATTTCAATTATTTCAGCATAGATAGAAACAGTCACATATTAAATTTTCTTTTTTTTTTTTTTTTTTTTTTTTTTTTTTTTTTTTTTTGGTATTTTTAGGCAAGGATCTACAGTGTGTTCAGGGTCTCACTACTAGATCAGACTCGTAGTGATCCACCTGTTTACAGCCTTCCGAGAGCTAGGATTACAGGTGCATGCCACCACGCCCATTCTCTACTTATCAAATTTCAACTCTTCAAATAACCAGTTTCTTTATAGGGAAATTAGATGACAACTGAGGTCTATTAACTGGTATTTTATGTGGGACAATTGCTCTACTGTGCAAACTGTCCTGTGTACAGCAGAATGTTTAGACACTATGGTCCCTGACAATTAAATGCTAGTAGATAACCTCCTCTCCTCCCCTACAGTTTACAACTGCCTCACACATCATTTCCAAAATATTTCCTTCGAGATCAGTGACAATCTAAAAGAGCATGACTCTTAAGCATTAAACTAAAGTACAAAAATTATGAAATAGATTTAGAATTAAAGGACCAGAATAAGATATATTCTAGTTTCATAAAGATAATAACAAGAGCTGGCCAAATAGCTCAGCGGATTAAAGCGCTTGCAAATAGGCACAGGGGCCACTTTGATGCCCAGGCCTGCCATGCTGGCCCTAGCCCCGCCCCCCAGGGTGCACTGAGAAGGCAATTGAGACTGGGCATGGTATTGCGCACTTGTAATCCCAGCGCTTGGGAGGCTGAAAACAGGATAATCACTGTGAGTCCAATCTACCTAAGTGAGACCTTGTAGACCCTGTCCTAAATACAGAAAAAAAAATTTTTTTCCTTAACTCAGGAAACTAATTTTTTTTTTTTTTTTGCTCCAAATGCCTTCAGGGCAGGTTTAGCTGGCTTGAGTTGTGGGGATTGAACCACAGCAACCTGAGCCTGAATGCTTGGCTGAAGCAGCCACTTAAAGAACTGAGCTAAGGGGCAGGCCCCCCAGGAAACTAATTTTATAAAAGTTTTCATTAGCTGACTAGTCTCCTTTCTATATACTTTTTTCTAATTAATTATTACTGGGGATGAACCCAGGGAGAACTCTACTAAACAGCTGCACCCTGAACTCCCCCATCTCCCCTCCCCCCTTTTTTTTTTGGAGACAGGATTTAGCTATGAAGTTCAGGCTAGCCTTGAGCTCACTTTGTAGCCTAAGCTGGTCTTGAACTTGCAGCAATCCTCCTGCCTCAGCCTCCCAAGTGCTGGGATTATAGACATGCGCTACCACGCCTGACTAACCCCCAAATTTTTAGTTGTAATCACCTTTTGATTATCTTTCCTAAAGCCAGCTTATTTTTCTTGAAGCTAGAATAGCACACTGAATTTGTTCACCATCTTTTAAAAAGTGTTTTTATTATTAATCCTAACATAGTCTGCTATTCACAAACCTGTTAGTGTCCCAAATAATGACATTTCCATCAAATCCTGATGTTACTAATAGTCTTGTATTAGTATCATATTCGATGTTCTTCACCCAGCTAGTGTGACCATGTAAAGTGCATACTTTGGTGTTCAATTTTCTCAGATCCCATAGTGCTATTGTAGTGTCATCAGAGCAGGTAGCGAACAGCCGGTTATCAAGAAATCTACAAAAGCAGAAAAGAAAAAATGATTTGCTCAATCACTTTTAAAAAACAGATTTGAGAAACAATCTTTATACTACCTACCAAGAAAAAAGAAAAATAAGGAACTATAAACTTATTTTATGGACCCAGTGATTCTGATATACAACGATTAGTACGTATAATTCACATAATTACAGGGCCAGGTCAACTTACTATGATTTAATGAAAGCTCCATTTTAATTTGATACATTTCCTTTAAATTGTTTGGAAATAGAAATATGTATTCGGAAGGTGGTGACAAAGAGAAAGAAAAGAACTTTGGAGTTTGTTCAGAGAATAAAAATTGCACAAGAGAATTTAACAGGAAAAAAAGGTCTTTCAAGACTTGAGTGGTCTAGAAGTCCAATCTAGTATTGAGACCCTGAATACTCCATGGAACCTTCCCTAAAATACAAAAAAAAAAACAAAAAACACATAAATAAATAAATAAATAAATGTGGGGGAAAAAAAAGACTTGACTGGTAAAGGGGAGGTGTCAGCATAAAAGGTTCTAAACAATTAGAAATATTTACTTTGCAACGAGTTGCATCTCTTTCTTAGAACATATTTACATATCAACATTATATTCAAATTGCCCAATATGGTTAATTTATTAACTGAAAAGTATTCCTCAAATAATCACACAGCAACATTTTATTATGACCATTCAATACTGTGAAACAGGCTTAATTAGAACACTTTATAAATCAGGCTTTTTATCATTTTGTATTCATCTTTCAGTCCTTAGAGAGAATATATTTTATAAAAATATGCAAAAGAGTACCAGGTATGGTGGTGCATGTCTGTAATCTCAGCACTTGGGAAGTTGAGACAGGAGGATCACTGTGAATTTGAGGCTAGCCTAAGCTACATATTGAGTTCAAGGTCAGCCTGGACTACATAGTGAGACCTTGTCTCAGACAGACAGACCAGACAGACAGACAACAAATCTACCATTCATACTTGAATTTAACATCAAGATAGTTTCTCTAATATATGCTATCATATTTAATTTTCTAATCTCTGCTAAAGCTTCTAAGACAAAATCATACATAGATCTTGTTAGAAATCAACTTTAATATCCACAAATATCATTATGACCTAGAAACTTGTCACGGCTTTAAAATTCCAGGCTCAGGCTGGGCATAGTAGTGCATGCCTATAATCCCAGTACTTGGAGGGCTGAGGCGAGAGGACTGCCAAAGTTTGGGGCCAGTCTGGGTTACATAGTTCAAGGCTAGCCTGGCCTGAACTACATGGTGAGACCCTGTCTCAACAAGAAAAAACACAACACAACATAACACAAAAAAACCCTAAAATTCCAGGTTCGTTTTTTTTCCTACCTCTTGATCTGGCTAAATCTTGCTTTCTTTTTAATACTCAAGTTATGACGCTCTCCAGGAACACTGCTTTCTCTATTAGCCTGTAGACAGCAATAGATCTACTAATTCTATCTACAAAGGTACTCTATACTTCTATCAAAATACTCATTACTACAGTATAAGGAATAACTATAGAAGGCTATAAACTCCTTGATGGCAGAGGGAACCTGTTTAATTAGTTCATGGTTACATCTGTAGTACCCAACACATACAGCACTAGGTTCACATGCTTTCAACGAATACTTTATTAAATGAAGGAATGAAATTCACTACCTAGTAGAAGACACTACAAATATATAATTACATAAAGTACTTGTGTGGATTAACAAACGAAAAGAGATTAATTAGGAAAGTCTTTATGGTGTCATTTAAACTATATTATAAATGGAAAGGGGGACCAGCCAGACAGCTCAGAGGATTAAAGTACCTGATAAGGCAGATGCAAGGGCTGAGGGTTTGATCTGGCGACTGAGACTGGGCATGGTGGTGTGCGCCCGTAATCCCTCTACCTAGTGAGATCCTATAGGCCCTATATTAAATACATTTTAAAAAGAGACCAAAAATAAATAAATAAATAAATAAGGAGAGAAGGAAGAGTAGAAGGGATCATAGGGGAATGGGAAGAAAAACACCCAAGTTATATCATATACAGGCACAAAATTCTCTATAATGAATGTGATTATACCTAAAATACCAATAAAATCTGGCTATCAAATAAATAAATAAATAAACTAACAATAAAAATGAGCAAAAATACCCCAAGTGGTCAAGAGCGGTAAGTAGAGGTACAGTGGCATGAAAGGGAGTGCTATGTGAATAAGTAGAGACAAAAGTCACAAGTCCACCTCAGCCTTGCAAGTAGCCAGGATTACAGAGGCATATCACTGAATCTGGCTGAAAAGGAATTTTTAAAAACATAAGTGTCTTGATACATACAGTCAAACTGTTCTCCAAAAGAACATGCTAATATATTGTTCTACCAGAAATTAAGATCTATTTCCCCAAGCCCTTACCATATCGATTTTTTTTTTAATTCTGTTAAGTGCAAGAAAAAAATGCCATATTATATGTGTGTGTTTTTAGGGTTTGTTTTGTTTTGTTTTGTTTTTGTACCCAGGATTGAACTCAGGACCTTGCACTTGCCAGATAGGCGCTTAAACCGCTGAACTACCTCCACAGCCCCTGTCATCTTGTTTTAAGGTAAAGTTTTATTTTTACTAAGGTTGAACACTTTTTCACATTTATTAAAACATTAAATTTCTTCTATAAATTGTTGTTCACAGTCCTTGCTGATTTTACAATTAATATTTTTATTCTTGAGTTGTAAAATCACCTTATAGTAAAGATAACATATC